CTCTCTCTCTCTCTCTCTCTCTCTCTCTCTCTCTCTCTCTCTCTCTCTCTCTCTCTCTCTCTCTCTCTCTCTCTCTCTCTCTCTTGCATGTGGTTGATCCGGCACCCATCGCCCCCTCCGCTTCCCCCTCTCCACCTTGTGCCGCTCTCTCTCGCACACCGTAGAGTAGCGAACATGGTTCAGCGTGGCGTTGCCGCGCAGAGCAGAGTAGGATAGTTCAAGTTGAGCGTCGCAGCATAGAGTAGAGTAGCTAAGTCGAAGTCGACCGTCACAGCATACAGTGGAGTAACAGCGTCAAGCAAAGTGGGTCGCGCACGCACACACACACACACAAACACACACAAACAAAAAGCACGAAATAACTCACCCTCAGTCATGCTGGCGTGCTCTAATGCACAGCCGAAGCATCAGCGTCCAACCTTCTTGATGCAGAGTCCGTCCCGGTGCACAGCCCAATCTCCAGCATGACAGAGCAACAATCTCTTTCTGTGCATGTGTGTGTGTCAGAGAGAGAGAGAGAGAGAGAGAGAGAGAGAGAGAGAGAGAGAGAGAGAGCTGTGCCAGACTGTTTCGTCAGACTTTCACCGACTCATCAGGAGGCTGAGCCCCGACAGTCTGCCCAGGATGCAATAAGGACTCACCACATCGTCCAGGGTGTGTGTGTGTGTGTGTGTGTGCACGTGTGTGTCGAACGCGTAGAGTAGAGCTTAGAGTAGCGTAGAGTAGGGCAGTCCACAACGCCATCGAGTACGTTAGCCTGTCTACGCAGAGCTTAGAGTAGCATAGAGTAGTCCACAACGTCGTCGAGTACCTTAGACCGGCTAGAGTTCAGTCACCGTAGCTCAGAAAGTATAATCGACGTCTACTGACAGTGTCCAGTCTACCTACCGGGGCAGTCCGCAAAGAGTTTGTTGCTATACGTTGTAAGCGCACACTGCCCCCGAATCGCTCGCGTAGCGGCGCTGGCCCGGTAACGTGCAATGGTACCCACACTGCCCCGGTACCGTGCGCGGTTCCGGCGCTGGGCAGTAACATGTGACAGTACCCGCGCAGGCGCGTGGACCCGGTACTGCACACAGTACAGGTGCTGGCATGCAGGTCCGGCACCACGTGCGACGGTTCAAGTTCTAAGAGAAAACGATCAGCAGACGATCGGGACCGTCATGGAGTGTAAAATCGGAGGGCCTCGATCGTCTGCTTGTCACAGGCAGAAAATTAGCGATAGTTATATATGTAAGGATGACTTCCTTCGAAGTTTGAAGCTTTTTCCTGATTAATTTTCTTTCATTATTTTATTGCTTTACATTCTATGTTTCATATCGTAGTATTTCCCACTTTTCAATGTTCCATCCATTTATTCCACGTGTAAATGTTTCATATGATAATATCCCCACTATTTTAGAATCAAATTTAGATCTACTTCACCAAATTTGCGCTTCTATAACGGCAAGTTTCATAGTGCCCTTCCCCTGGATTTTAACATATCCTGCAGGTCCCTGTCAGAATGCGCTTCAACATTAGTACTGTGCAGAAGTTTCTAAATGCTTTCTCCTCTCTCTTTCTCCCTTCCCCTCCCTCCCCACCCCCCCCTCCCCCCTCTCCTCCCCCACAGCCCCTCGGTCCTCGCCCTGCTCAATTTTTAGGAACGCATGCCCGTGATTCCATGCATCAGTAGAGGACGAGTAGAAAGTGGAAGAAGGCCGCAGAGCCATGCTTGGGAAGGGACTTACCAGCAATTATTTTGCGTGCTACACCATACTGCATCCGAAGGACCGCATCCTCACTCCTCTCCCTGGAGCCTGCAAAAGAAATTCCATAAAACAATAAGATAATCGGTACCATAAAATGCAGGTCAACGACGAAGCAGGGTACTCAAATTTAGCTAAAAAATGATGGCACTCGCTAAGTGGCTTCACCTTATTAGCTTTGGTAATGTTAGCAGTACACAGCATCAAGTCTTGGATGAGTCTGTCATGAAACCTCCACAAAATGCGCAGGCAGAAAGGGATAAACCTATGCAACACCGTCATTTTTTTTTTATTTTTAAAGAGGATTTATTTGGAGTTTTTTTTTTTTTTTTTAAGACATTCAAGATACGTTACGAAAGTTGTCCAATCTAAATTTCATCCTGATAACTCCAGCCATCTGGATTCCAGATCCCGGTTCCTCTACCATCTCGACCTGGGGTTATAGGACTGGATGTAATCATCCAACCAATACACCATTTTTTGTGTCGATGGACCAATAAACCATTGTTACTCGGCCAATGGAGCAGTCAATCATCATTATTTGGGCCGTGCGCTGATCACCATCATTTGATCATTATCCAGTGATTGAGGATTCCCTGATGGATTGGCCGGTTTACGGCATAAACTACTGACTGATTGCTTCGCTTGTTAATTTATTGACTGATTGATTGACGTTTTGTTTGGTTTTGTGACGCATTGAGTGATTGATCGATTGATTGGTATAGTGTTTGATTGATTGATTGTTTTTGTGTTTCTTATTGTTTAATTCATCATTGAGTGTTCGATTGGTACATTGACTGATTAATTACGGGTTCGTTGATGGGTCAAATGGTATATCTTGATTGATTGTTTGATTGATGGATGGATGCAATCATTCATTCGCTCATTCATTCATTAACTGGTTGAGTAGTGGACTGGTTTGTTGATTTACATTTCGATTGGACTGATTGCGTCCTGATTGATTGATGGATTGATTGACCGATGGACGGACGGAGGGAATAGGGAGGGAGGGAGGGAGGGAGGTAGGGAGGGAGGAATTGATTCTTTCATGAATTCATTGGTATGCATTCACTAGTAGAAAATTTAAACGATTTAAAAACCACGAGAGATTGTATACTGATTGATTGATTGATTGATTGAATGATAGACAGATTGATTGATTGATTGATTGAATGATAGATAGATTGAATGATAGATAGATTGATTGATTGATTGAATTTGATTCATTAGTAGTCCATTGGGTTGCTTGGGTTAAAAAAATAAAAGAAAGAAAGATGGAACCGCACACGAGTTTCATCGGGAAGGATAGATGGGTGGATGGATGGATGGACTGATTGATTGATTGATTGATTCATTAATAGTTGATCGGGTTAAGAAAAAGAGACTGGGAACCACGGTGGCAAGTTTCAGATGCAGTTCAGCTCCTAAACAAAATCTCAGAGACTTATATGTAAGCGCACCAGTGCATCAAGTGTTCAGTGAACTCTAAACGGAACCAGACTCCTGCACATGTTGTCGATTGATTACTTAAGAGCTGTGCTGCATCTCTCTCTCTCTCTCTCTCTCTCTCTCTCTCTCTCTCTCTCTCTCTCTCTCTCTCTCT